TCCAAACAGAATCTTTGACTTCACTCTTAATATGACCTGATCTGCAAAACATCACCATCTTATCAAGCCATTTTTGTCCATTATTGAGCCCCGAAAGTCTTTTACTAAACAAGTAGAACAATCTAAACGATGCACTAGAGTAGAGGAAAAAGGTGAAGATTTTTGTCTTAACACTAAATGGATGAAAGTCTTAACTCTACACTGGTAATAAAATGAAATCCTACTCTCAGAACTTTAAGGTTTAAATATGAGGATAATGGCTTAGTGTTGTAAGCCAACCCTAATTTCTGCTACTGTAAAATTCAATATATACGTGTTAATTCATTACACTCTGAAGTTCTGCCTCGTCTCTGCAGGTATTCTTCTGTCTGATACAGTCCCTAATCTGAGACTAGTGAATGTCCTTTCACAGACAACCCAGCTGTTCCTGCTGTTAATATGGAGCTGATGCGACCTCAGTGGTCAATGAAGAAGCAAGGCTTTATCGACAGCTTTTTTCCCTCTGATTCGTCCTTCAATTGGTATCATGATACTTTTAACAGCTTTTTCCTGTGTCACTTAGAGCTCAGTTCTGAGAAAGCTTGTTATGTAATGTACCATGTCCCAAACCAAAAAGAACTACACAACACGCCATCAGCACTCATCACCTCCTCTCCTCCTTTTTCCATTCTCTCCTTTTAAAGGCTCTCCTCTCCCTCCCTCTCTCCCGCTCTATTCACTCATCTCTCTTAATCCCGTTCCTATCACTGACTCGATCTCTCTCACGCTGATCTCACTGTTAGCTGCATTAAGTCATTAGTTGATGCTCTTACTGGGGGCGACTTTGATAAAGGCAAACAGTATATCTAGAGGACAGGCAGATAAAACAAAGCCACTGCACAGAGAGTAAAATCTTTACAAAATGCCCCTGAGCTGCTTGTGTGGCAACTTCAGCTGGGAACAGACCTAAAATTGTCTCAATCATCTCCTTATGGCTGATTGGTTTCTACATGAAAACACGATTTTCTGCCAAAGTTAGATCAGTTTTGGTTTTTATTACAGATTACAGACAGATTTTCTGTGTTTCTTTTTTTGTGCTCATTGAACTGGTCACAAAATCCACCTACCATCTCCTTTTAAAGCCTGAATTCTACCTCTTCAGGCTGGACATAGGTGAGCCCGAGGGGTAGCTCAGATACATGTATGTAGTGGTTTCTTTCATACTTGTATGTAACACGTTTACATTTGTTTTCATCTCTGTTTGGACCCCGAGTCCCGACAAGAGTTGAGTCAACCAATAACCCTCCATGACACAAAGGTCTGCATGACACCTTGTTGAGATATGGGAGGTGTCAGCTAATGAACCCCTTTTTTTAATCTGTATTAAAATATAAATGTAAAAAACAATAAATTTAGGTTTTACATAGTGTTGCCAAGCTAATCCCCATGTGGCTCTAGGGCCATAACTTTCTATAGTAAATGGATAAATGTGAGAAAAAAAAAACTCACTCAGCAATAGTAGCTGACTAAGTGGAAGAATCTCCTTTATTCCACCAGTAGGTTTCATTACTGAGCCTCAATCAGGGTGAGAGATAAGATGATTGCTGGAGAGACACAAAGACTGTAAACTGTGAGGGAAACTGTGTGATAATATCTCCCTGCTGTCAACACCACCTGGCCCAGACTGTCACAGACTTTGTCCAACACGATCCAAGTCTTAATGTTGAAAATGTAACTATAATCAGCCTAACAATTGTAAAGTGTGTCCCTGCCTTTAGAGGAAAAGCCTGTATCCTACTCTGACTGACTGCTGCCAGGAGCGCAGAGACCGAACAGAAAAGAGCTCAGCATGCTCTCCACAGAAGACCTTGTAAGGTAGAAGTTTCTTATCCTTTCTCCAGGTTGTGTAAATATGGGCTCCTTGACCACACTGTGTCTGCTGAACACACACACAGACACACGCACTCTCTTTTTCTCTGACCCCAGTGTTGTGAGGTTGCACACACAATGGTTTCACTCAGGGCGAGCCAGCCAGCCAGCCAGCCAGCCAGCCAGCCAGCCAGCCAGCCAGCCAGCCAGCCAGCCAGCCAGCTTACCAGCTATCCAGCTAATTCCAGTAGCTACAGTCAGTCTCCAGCATGCGTGGAGCATGGCAAAGAGTTGGAAAAGGGGGGGTTTGTTTTCAGCTCGCTATGTCTGTTAGCAGGATAAAAACATGAATGAGCCTACACAAAACCTACCTCTGTGGAGAAGTTGGTCATGACTGGGGAAAGAGGTGGGGGTGGGGCAAATGCATTGAGTTTGGCTTCACATTCGAAAGCATACAACTTCAATTGTTGCAAGTACATAAGCTACTATTTTTCTTCATAGTTTGTTTCCGCATTTCTTCCGCCTTGTTTGTTCTGTCAGCAGTTTTTCATATGGGTTACAATGGTCCTGTCAACACTTTTACAATGGTGTTTTATGGGGAAATGGTTTTTGGCCACAAGGGACTTCTTTGTTGCCATAATGCAACTGGGACAAATTGGCAACACGGCCGTCTTGCCGCGCCATATCACACCTCCATGGTGTTGATCAGGATACACAGGGAAGAGGAAAACTCTCCATTATATGTCAAAATCATTTAGCATCTTACAGCGCATTGTTTTGGTTTTTCAGTCCACAATTTTATGGTAAAAAAAACACTGGAAAGTAGATTTAAGTCGCTAACACCAAGTTTGATGATATTAAATTCAACAAATGGGGTACTATGCACATGTACCACACAGCTACAACAAAAACGCTCTTATTTCGCTGGTGGTGGCGGTGGTGGTGGCGGTGGTGGTGGTGCCCCTGCCCCTGCTGCTGAAAAAAATCTTACAGGAAACCCTGCAGGGGTATACTATAGCCAAAAGGAGGAACTTAAATTCCTCAGGTGACCAAAAACACAACTTGAAATGAATGCTAATGTTGCTCTGTGTCTGCCAGAGGTGTAAATAAGCAAATGCTAACCAATGCATTCGACAAGTCAACCTAAAAGATGGTGATATGTCAGTGTTTTCTTGTTCCCAGCCTAAAGTGTTCAAAAAATAACTTTAAAATCTCTTCCCACAACAAACATGGCGCTGGTCTGTTAGCGCTATGATATTCAACTGAGATACTTAACAATGGCTGTAATACAAACAGATCAACTAAATCTCGTCCATTTTCAGACACAGCCATTCAGCTTGACAGGTACATCGTGTTTGAGATCTGGGCACTACTGAGTACAATCTACTTCATAATTCATTTGGATGGAAGGCAATCCTCTCTACCTATGATCAGTACAAAAGGCCAAAACGAAAAGGCAGTCAATTAGCCTGTCACAAAAAGACTGACACGACAGGATTAACGCTCCACATTAGTGATGACTCTCAGCTAGACACCAATGTCTGTCTGCTTTGGTTTTATTTATTTCAGCTGACTAATCTGTAGCAATCGTACCTCCCAGCAGTTCCAAAATCTACTAAGAGGGGCTCAGACATATCCTGATGTAAAAACAAAATAGGTCAGGATGGCTAAATCGGTGCTAAAATTAGAAGAAAGAAGCACACAGGAAACCCCCCGGTCTGATAGCCCAGGAGAGAAGCTTGATATATGGTTACAGTAATTATGGTAAAAAAAAGGGAGATTGTTTTCATGAGCCTCACTATTATTCTTTTTAAGGATTACCGTGGCTTTTGCTACTGCTGTAACATCTTAGATAGTTCGGTTCTGAATGAGGCTGAAATCTTTTAAAGTTTCCAGCACTTGGCAGATCTGCACATCGTCCTTTTCAAATAACAAAAAAATAGGAAGCAAGTCTCTCCAAGCCTGGTTCCCTGCTGTGGCTCATCCCGAGTCAGCCAGGAGTCACAGTGGCCAAAGAGCGACCTGCCACTCATGTCGCCTTGGTTACGTAAGCTAGGAGATCACACGGCCTCACTGAGGTGGAAGGAGAGATTTGGGAGAGAAAAGGAAGTAAGTGTGTGTGCATGTGTTGGGGGGGGGGGGCTTTAAATTGTAAATAAGATTATGGCAGCTTCCGACCTTTATCTGCCTTCTCTCTCTCTCTCTCTCTCTCTCTCTCTCATGTTCTTCCCCATGTTCCCTTCTTCCTCTCCTCCTTTTCACTCTTCACACCCTCTGTGCATTTTCCATGAACTCCAGTGTACTCCAGACAAAATTGGACTTGGCGCATTCTCAAAGGCTGTCAAAGACGACGCTGGGTGCAAATGACAGTACACTCATTGCGAAGGAGGTTTGTCTCCGTGTGTGTGTGTGTGTGTGTGTGTGTGTGTGTGTGTGTGTGTGTGTTTGTGTTTGTGTTGTGTGTACTGTGAGTCACAGTTCAAGCGAGCTAATCTCCTGGCATATCCCGTAGATGTCCATCTGAACAAGGTGAAAAGGAGATGGGACATTTTAGCTGACAAGGTGTCTTCTTAAATGCCAGAACAACATCAGGACAAACAACAAGACTCCCTGTTCCCACTCACAAACTATATTATATCTCCTTTTATTCCTAAATATGACACCTTATTCCCATTTATTTGGATGCCATGTTCTTCCTAAATAAGAATCCTCAGATTCTGGACAAACTAGATGGTTGCAGCTTCTCAACTGTGCGGATTTGCTGCCTTTACCCTTTTTTATATACATTTTTGTAATTAATAGAATATCTTCGGACAAAACTATTATACACCAATGAAAATGATGATTAGTTATAGCTCCTTTTAGCCACAAATCTTTAAATAAAATAGTTCAATAAAACAGAGCTGACCTGAGTTCAGCTGTGCATTAATGTGTCTTTGCAAACATCCTCCCTGATGGTGATTTCAACATTAAAGAAAAGAAGTAACTTATTTTGTGCCTTTACCTTTACTTTGCATGGTGGACCTTTTCTTTTATATGGGACAAGCCAAAGAGATTCAGTTTTCAAACTGACGTCATATGTTGTACATGTCTTTGTTTTAATGTAATTGAGTTGTGTGCTGCAGATTTGTGTTTGTGCACTCTTCACTCACCTATCTGCAGCAGTACGGGCGTCACCAGCGCCGTCTCCATGGCGTAGCAGAACTCCCGGCCGAACATCACGGCCCCGTGCATCACCCATCTCTTCACGGTAATGCCTTCTATCGATCCTTCGCTCGCTGACTCCTCACCAGTCCGACCACCTCCTGCTCCTCCTCCGCCTCCTCCCGATCCATCCGTCTCGCCTGCTGCTCCTCCTTTCTCCTCGTCCGAGCTTGAGTTTTTGTCGTTAGCCCCGCCCACCAGAGATCCGACCTGCATAGCGTCAGCCTCCGTGTTCTGGGGAGGCATGGTGGAGGGCATGCACGCAACAAGAAAACAAGCGTGCCTCTGCTAACACACTGACAAATCTGAGAACAATTACCTGTAGCTACCGAAAAAAAAAAACAGTACTACTTCCCTGCTTCCAGAAATTACTCTTATCAAGTTACTTGTAGTTACTTTAAAAACTAGTAGTGACTTCCTAGAAGTAATTTAATTACAATCTTTACAACCTACAGGATACAACTATTACCGCTTTAGAAGAAAAAAGTATCTTTTAAAGGTGTTCAAGAAGTGATGGAGTGCTAATACCACTAAATAAAAACAAAAAGTGTCCCAGCACGCGAGGTAATAAAATGTCTCTAAAACTGGGTCCTGCTAAAATTAAAAAGGCTGTGGACACAAGAAAAACTTATCTACAATCTATAGATCAAGCATAAATCTCAATTTCCAGATCTGCAGAGTAGTAGAAAAAAAAGTCAATCAGAAATAATTTGTCCGCTAAACAAGTTGTCCGTACTTGTCCAAAAACACTGCAGCTTCAAATTCAGCACGGTTTTAATCCTCTTCTCGACGCCTTGTTTTCTCAGCCCCCGAGTGTGGGAAAAAAAAAACAGAAAACAAAATCAGCTTTCCAAATGCTTGTAGAAAATCCCAAAAGTAAAGGAAGCAGTTGAATATTCACAGGAAGATTGTGCGGTACATTCCAAGAGTGAGTTAGTGCGTTTGCTTCTTTGTGTGTGTTTGTCAGGTGTGTGAGATCCAGCCTGGAATACTCTCTCAGCTTTATTTGGTACGTTGATATGTCAGTGTTTACATGCCTGTTTATGTGTGCGAGTGGTATGTTTGTGAGTGTGTTTGTGAGTGTGTCTGTATGTCTGTATGTGTGTGTGTGTGTGTGTGTGTGTGTGTGTGTGTGTGTGTGTGTGTGTGTGTTGTGTTTATGGCTTTTTTTTTTTTTAGGTTTTTTCCCTTTTTTTTTTTTTTTTGTTTTTTTTTTTTACTGTCTATTATAAGCAGTAAAAATCCATATAGAAGACCATTCGGTGAGTTCCAGAGTCATTTTGTGTATAGAGGGCTGGATGGAAGGCTGGATGACGGAGTGGGTGGGGGCACGGGGGCAGGGGGGAGGAGGAGGAGGAGGGCAGGCAGCGACGGTGGGCGGAGCTCCTCTGAAAATCCCCATCGATTGGCTGATCAATCTGGAGGATTGGCAGGACGATGAAGCAGCAGGTGAGGAGGCAAAGGCAGGCGTCCCATTGGTCAGGGGGAGAGATGAACGTTGAGTTGGGTGAGAAGAGAAGGGGAGGGGGGGAGAAAAAAAAACAGAGAAAAACACCAGTGAGTCACAGCAATTTAACTCTCAAACATGTATTTACCAGAGAATGCGAGCTTTGTCACATGTAAGCAAAACAACGCTGTATTTTTCCTGTCACACAAGTGTTTCAGGTATGCCATCCAATAAGCCAAGTGTGTCATAAGGTGTGCCAGGTGGGTCTATATGAATATGCTAGGTGTGGGAAGAGCTTCACATAAATTGGTGAATATCAGCTGACACAAGAAGAGGAAGAAAGAAGAAGTGGTTAAGGTACAGGACGTGCTGATCCTGGCAACGAAAAACTGCTGCTTTTCTGAAAAGCCGATACACAGAAACGCTGGGAAAAAGGACAACTGACAACTGGCTGTGGGTTATTTTACCTCAGTTTTGCTTTATCAGACGTCATAGTTAACAGTTTTAAATGGAACTACTATTTAACTGAAAAAAAAACCGTCCCAATGAAAACTCCTGACAGTAAGGAATGTGGATAATCAATACAGATGGGGTCATTATTAAAGATGCAGCTTTTTGATATTCAAGGCTGTGAGCGCCACAAATAAAATTCCAGTCACCTTTATTGTATTACGCTGGAGGCAGTAATCTCAAAACCTGGACACATAAAACCAGAACTATCTGCATGACCAGACGCAGTAAGGGTAAGAGAGGAAATGTGTGTGGAAAATGTGAAGGATGAAAGCATGCAATGTGTTTTATGAGCTGAAACGTTTTCAAACTGAGCTGCTGTTTCAAACAGAGGGCTTGTGTGTGTGTGTGTGTGTGTGGTGAGAAGAAATGAGAGATATGTGGACTGAAAAGAAAAAAAAAAAAAAGAAGAGATAGAGAAAGAGGAGTACAAGCAGTGAAGGCCTTCGGCTAATAACACGCCTGGTAGAGAGAGAGGAAAACAGACTGCATGGGTGTTCAATACCATTTCCCACAGAGTTAAGTTCCAAAGTGCGTGTGTTTTTTTTTTGTGTGCAGTGAGCCACTGGATTATAACCCATGGAGACGGCACATTTTGTCACACCCAGCACACACTAATGCTTGCCACGTGAACGACACACACAAACACACACACACACACACACACACACACACACACACACACACACACACACACACACTTCATAACAGTGCTAAGACCCTCATCAAGCCTCTTAGGGAGCGATTGAGAAAGAAAACAAAATGAGAGACGAAAGGAGGAGGGAGAGAAATGGGGAAAGGAAGGAGGTAAGGAAGGACGGATGGAGGGTTAGAACAGGTAGAAAGTGGGAGGAATAAGAAATGGAGGGAAGGGAGAGTCTGGAGAGGAAGAGAATGAAGAGGCACAAGACACGGACAGATGGATGAGGGCAGAGGTCAAAAACATTCGTCTCTCCGCCTTTTTTTCTCTCTCTCTCTCTCTCTCTCTCTCTCTCTCTCTCTCTCTTCATTTCTCCTCTCCATTTTCAGTGCTCTCACATGTCTCCATTAACATTCATGATGCACTCAAGATATCCACACACACACACACACACACACACACACACACACACACAGAGCTCCCTCCTCACCTGACCTCACCACACACACTGCAGCAGATTACATAACAGCCCCTCTCCTTTACAGGCCCACACTCAGCATGTACATAACAAATACAAACTAATTCTCTCCTCAATTCTGTTCAGATTAGAGGAACGACCACAGTAAAAAAAAAAAAAAAAAAAACAACCACAACCTCCGCTCTCAGAAGGAGAACACAATGTGCCTAAACACCCAAAGCTTCCATTGCCAGATATGTCACATGCTAACAACAACAACAACAACAACAACAACAACAAAATGTTCAGATCTGGTAAGTTTGATTGGAGCATAAGCTAAAGTCAAGTTGGGAATGATGGGAACATCCAAGCAGGGTGGAGAAGCTGAATTTATAGTCTTGGTTAGCCATGCCTTTTTGAATGGTAAACACATTCATGTGAAACAGCATGCAAGAAGGAACACACGACATGAACATGTTACACGTGAGTGATAGGGTGTAAATACGCCCGATCACCAAAATAATTAAATTCTAAGCATACCATAAGCTTATAGGCCACTGGTTTCAGCACACTTTGCCCACATCACATTACTGCTGCATGGCAGTGCAGCTGCAAGCAGAGGCTTTATTTGGGACTGAAGCTTCAACATCTGACATATGAGTTGGCAGCTCAGCAGCAGCATCACATTTACAAACTATGATGTAGAAAAATCAAACCTAGACCAGGGTTTCCCCCAGGGAACTGGTTAGTGGAGGCGGTACTATTGATGATACAAATCCAGCTGGTCAATTCAAACTTTGACCTAACTTGAACTCTTTTCAGACTCGTGTGTGTAAAACATTTGACCAGCTGCTGATTATCAAACACCTGAGTCTTTTCTCACGCATCAGCTCATCTCATCATCTCATTTCTGTTTTAATAGTTAGTTTGGGACAGTTTAAATAATCACCTCACTCATTAAATGTGTGGCTTTTATGTAAAACCACTGCTCATTTTTCCTGAGACTTAATAAGCTTTATTTAAAAAAATATATATATTAAATATCTTATGACATTCGCAGAATCGCTCTAACCTCGCAGACGCAGATGTCAAATTCCACGTAACAAACAGAGTCTTGAACAATGGGCAGAGCCTCAACAGCACATTCCATTATGCAAACATTGCGGTTTTAAGAAAAGCTTGGGGAGTGTTTGCTTGCAATTAACTTCCAACTGATGGTATGTGAATAAATGCCCTAACATACATAAAGCCATAAGTGCGGTCTTGACTACACAGCCTAAATCAGTCAGCAAATATGTTGTGCTCTGAACTCGGCTCCGTTTGTGAAACTGAAAATGCCATAAGAGACTAAAGAAAGGACACCTGCTACGCACAATGAGCCAGAGGACTCAATAAATCAAAGAAAAATGGAAAACAGCTCGAGCTGAAACTGAGATGAAACAGAGGTCGTAAACACGAGGAGCGATCAGTCCATCAGTTCTGACAGTAAAATTAGAGGCTGTTTTGAGAGTGTGTAGGAGCACTTTAGAGTGACAACATCAACTTTGAGCACATATTTTTGCTCAAAGCATGTGTGCTATGTGTCATATAAATATGTGGATCCGTGCTTAGAATAAGTAACTATGACTGAGTGATTTTAAGACAGAAGAAATCAGGCCAAGTCAACAAACAAGACCAAAAAAATAAATAAATAAGTGAGGGTGCTGCTATCCATCCACCTCGTTCTCTCAGCTGACAGCACTATCTGGCCTGTATCTGTAATTCTCAGTCCTACAAAGCACACACACACACACACACACACACACACACACACACACACACACAAAGCAGTGAATGGTATCTGATTATAGGTCCGTACACATGTAGCACCAGTCAGCTGTACTATTGTTTCTGTGTGTTTGTGCATGTGTGTGTGTCCGTAACATGAGCTTAGCTTATATAGAATTACACCTCAGCTTTTCTGGGAGCCGACATAAACAAAATACAGTCTCATGTGAGAGAGGAGAGAGGAAAGGTGTAGTAAAGAGGAGGTCGGGGAAGATGGGGTTGAGGCAGAGGTAAAGAAGGGGAACATAAGGGAGGAGGAAAGAAGACAAAAAAAAAGGTAGGATGGAGGTAGGCCAAGAGAAGACATGAAAGACAGAATGGAAGGAGCAAGAAAACAGTCAAACATTTCACAAAATTTTCACATGGACAGAGACAATGAGAAAAAGAGGGAGACACAAAAGATGTGCAGAAAACAAGAGCAGGAGGGAAGGAGAGGAGATGCCTTTAAAGTTCAAGGTCAAAGACAAATTAAGAGTCTATCGTCTCCTGTGTCTCACAGAACAACACACACACACACACACACACACACACACACACACACACACACACACACACACACACACACACACACACGCAGAGGTTTGCTGAATCTGCAAACACACGTAACCCAGGTCTATTTTAGTGAGTGTTTATTCTTGTGTCACAGACCAGATTACCTGAGACACCAGCACGAAAGCAGGGCAAGCTCTGCCTTTCTCACTTCGTCCACCTTCTGTGCCTCCCCGCTTCTTCTTTAGCATGCCACCTAAAGTGCATGCAGTGAACATTAGACAGTAAGCAGACTGTCTCGTGTCTGCTGCAAGTCCGATCATGTATGGAACATACTGCCAATGTTCAAATAAGCAGTAACGTGAATTGTCGAATGCTTTGCATATTCTGGTTGCTCTTGTGCAACCCCTTGGCCGTCCTATAGGTGACATGAATCAGGACTCAGCAGGTTGACACTACATCCTGTAGGAAAACACGGGCATAGCTAATGGAGGAATGGAGGCAGAGTTGCTGCTCAACACCATCGTGTCAGTTATTTAAAGCCAAGATATTCCAGTTTGGGCAATGGGGTGGAGCTGGGGATCAATGAGCTACCGGCAGCCAGAAGCTAACTTCCTCATATGTCTGTCAATCAAAGGGAACACGTCCCAAATCAAGAAGTAATTCACTGAAAATCTAACTCTTATGTTTTTTGCCTCCGTCAAGGAGATAATGTTTTTATGCATGCAGAACCGATTTGCACTGAATTTGGTGGATGGGTGGGCCATGGGCCAGAGAAGAACCCATTAAACTTTGAGGCGGATCCGGATCATTTACTATGAATTAGATTTTTTTTTCTCTGAAGTCGGGTGTATGTTGTTGGACATTGGCCTTGGTGGAGGTCTCTGCCGCCCTTCGTACTTCATGTTTCCCCATAGCTTCAGAGCTCTGTTAAAAAATTTAGGAACTTATTGACAAAGCGACAATGTTTAGATCATACTGATGATACTGTATTAGTGTATATTTTATGACGTAAGAAAGATATGAAAAGTTTCTATGGGAGTTTTGA